AATACAGAGGAACTTGCATGCTCTACCAGTGAAAATTCCTTGAGACAAATTTTAAGTACAGACCAGAGTCAAGCCATATGCCCTGCCATAAAGAAACAACAGAAATCTGACATATCCATAGTATTCACAGATGCAGATATATATTTATGGGCCTCTATCAGATAAGCCAATGGTTATGAATAAAACATCATGTAACTCTACAGGGATTCAATTCCAACTTCAGAAATAGAGCATCACTTAATTCCTTGCCACTGATGAAAAAAAGAAAGTGAAAAAAAAAAAAAAAACACACCTCAATAATAATCTATTTAATATGTTCTGTTCAAGTATTTATCAATCCCCAGACAGCTTCATCCTAAGGTTCACTGTCAGACATAGAGAAATGAAGGTAATGTAGAATTTCTAAACCTTCACTTTTTAGGATTACATGGTAGGTGTGTCCTTTTACACCATGATAAATAGAAATACACATGGTGACAAGCACACTTCCACTGAGACAATAAAATACCTAGACCATGATATCTGAAGTCGAATGATACAATCTCCAATTTTCAGTTCCCATTGCATTAAAAAGGGCTCTTCTAGGTCTTTTCAAGTACCTGAAACCTTAAGCACCTACAGATGTTCTAATCAAAAGGACACCTTCATTTTTGGTGTCAAACCACAGAAGATACAAGAGCTCCATCATAAATACCCATACTCCAAATCAAACAGAAGAATATAAAACTCAGGAAAAGCCAACCCTTTCATACTCAGACAGCGACACGAATGCAATAATGTCATGTAAAGTAGTAGTAGTAGTAATAATAATAATAATGCGCTAACAATGCACAGTGGCAAAACCTCATTAGACATCCTAGGGAAAAGAGAAAGGTTTTCACCCACCTCGGATCTTTCTGAATGCTGTCAATGGATGGGGACCTGGCCAAGGTGCCTTCGGGTGGGAGGGCAGGGCCGGATTTGCTGTACGGAGACTCAACAGAGGGACAATACTGCAGCTGTCGGTAGGGGTCGGCGTAGTTGGAGGCCGGGCCGGCGGCATAGCTGGCCCTCTGGAAGGTGGCTGCGGCGGCGTTCTGTGGGCCGTGCTGGCTGCCTGTGCGCTGCAAGGGGACGGAGTCGACACCGGGGGAAGATGGGGCTACGACAGGAAAGTAGGGACAAAGTAAAAGATTGAGGACCTGCTCACAGAAACGGTTTACCAGGTCTAGGCAGGGGAAAATTACACACATAAAAAATAGGGGTTTGAAAGAATAAAAAAAGAAATCCGTCATATTTGGACCAATATATACATGGTTATCCAGCAAATGATAATCAGTATGCTATTTCCGAAGTCAGCCCTTCCGGTATGGTGGGGAGGAATGCATCCGTGTGTATATTGCTTACCAGCATCCAAGAGATATTCATTGGAAATATAAACTGCAAAAGGAAAACCCAGATGAACTATAGTGACTATTTTATAAGGCAGCATGGACAGTTAGTTCTTTATTAGTCAAGTTAAGGAAATTCAGAATGTGTTCAGGTAATGTTACAGTAACTTTAGGAAAGATAAAAAGCCAATTTAGTAATTTAGTTAATTTTCCTAAACAGAAGAAAATAAGGAAATGTGAGTGGAAGTGTATGCTTAGGGGTGGAGGTGGGCACAGGGGGGCCCATATTTCCATAATCAGTACCAGAACATTCAAGCAGGACTGCTCTAGTTTCAGTAAAGTAACTCCCCAAAAGATTTTCATAACGCCTCTTTTTCAAGTACAGCTGTCATAGGAACAAATACATTCGGTGAAGGTCAGGCATATAGAAGGAGAAAACCAACCCGACTGCAAGGCACACAAAATAACGAGCTGACTCGGCTTTTCCAAAAGTATTTGTATCTTCTCAGTGTGTCTAAATTGTTTTGAAAAGAGTTTACACCAGTTACTGAAATTAGTTTGACTATTTTCAAACTAAATTTTAATTTTTTGTTTCCTTCCTGGATTCTTTTTAGATCATTTCATGTCATTATTTTTACTTGGTTCTCAAAAATATTTGATATCGAAGGTTTGTTTGACATATACAGTGAAAATAGCATCTTCTAAATTGATAGAATGTGACCGGATTCTTTTTAGATCATTTCATGTCATTATTTTTACTTGGTTCTCAAAAATATTTGATATCTAAGGTTTGTTTGACATATACAGTGAAAATAGCATCTTCTAAATTGATAGAATGTGACCAGTTATTAACTGCTCTAACAATTGTAAGCCATGACTAATATTATACAGCACATTTACTTTCTGGCATTGTAGATCCAAATATACCCCAAATATAGCCTGTGTCTAGATATACACCCTGGGTGCTTTACATGGAATTAGATCCCAATTATAAATCACACTTCATAACCCTGACGTCCTGAGCATTTCTTAGTGGAGGATGATAAAGCTTATTTTATCTTCTCTCACATTAGGGGACATATGCCAAATCAAACACAGAAGAAATCATGTCACATTAAGAAAATAAATGCTAGAAGAGGTTAAGGCAATTATGTCAAAATGACAAAAAGTTGCAAAAGCGAACAGGAGGAACACATTCTAATACTGAGAACTGACTTTTAACTAGGAGTTCAGGACTTCTCTTTTCCAGTGAACTTTCAGTACTTCATCTTATAATAACCAAAATTTAGGAAAGTAGGTTCTATGACACAATAAAAACTACAAAAATACTTAAGAAAAACTGATTATGAGGGTTGTCTTGATATGTTAAGTTTCAAAACAATCAGATTAGACTAATAAACATAAATTGCATAATCAGAAAATCTGTTTTATGTCTCTATGCAATTTTTAAAGAATTTATATTTTCTCCAATCTATTACTAACATGTCTAATTACAATTCACATTTTAAAATTTATAAACTACATGCTTTATGATATGCTGAAAGGAGTTTAAATTTTAGGCAGGGCATAACCTTGCTTTTGGAAGAACAAATGCACAGGGGTGAACAAAATTTCATTTTCTACAAGAGTTGTGATAATCTAGATGAAAATCAAGGGCAAAAGGAGAAAACTAAGTACACCTGACATTTTTCATAGATGTGCACTTTTTCTCGTTCAGGAAACTAAATATCAACATTCAATCTTGCTGAAAACATTTTTCAAAAAAGAAACTCTTTTCTACACAACTTTTTTTTTTTTTTTTGCAGCTGGCTGGTATGGGACCGGAACCCTTGACCTTGGTGTTACAAGGCTGTGCTCTAACCAACTGAGTAACCGGCCAGCCCATTTACAAAATTATTCTTTGTTGATACATTTAGTGCA